GCTCAGCACCCCCAGACGCAGCACCTCCAGATGCAGCACCTCCAGACCCAGCACCCCCAAACGCAGCACCTCCAGGCTCCACACGCTCAGCGCCCCCAGACTCAGCACCCCAAAGCTCCGCACCCCCAAGGACAGCACCACTCCCAGCAGGACCGGAGTCACCAGTGACCTCAACAGGCGCAGGCGCGGGGGGGTCTACCTGGGGAGGACCTGGGGCGAGAAAGAGCGGCGGGGGGGGGGCGAGGAGCAGTGCGGTAGGGGAAGAGGCGGTAAAAGGGGACGGAATCGTCAAAGGTGACGTCCTGAGACGCAAAGACACGGCGCGAGGCGGGGTCGTAAAACTGCCAGCCAGGCGCGTCAGGGACAAAGCCAAGGAAGACACAGGGAATGGCGCGAGGGGAGAGCTTGTCCGCGGTGGTATCGCGGACAAAGGCACGAGCACCCCAGACCCGGAAACGCGACGCGTCGCCAACCTTCCCCGTCCACAGCAGTGTGGGCGAGGTCTCCGGCAAGGAGACACGGGGCCAAAGGTTGAGCTGATGCGCGGCGTACCGGACCGCAAAAGGCCACAGAAAATGGGGGGCAGCCGCATGGATCATGGAGGTACGAGCGACCTCCATGACTAAGCCAATGCGGCGCTCAGCAACCCCATTCTGCTGCGGAGAGGCCGGAAGCGTGAAAGTCTGGCGGATGCCGTGCTCCGCACAGAAGGCTGCCAAGAGGTCTGAGGAGAACTCACCACCTCTGTCAGAGTGCAGACGCAGGACAGGAAAGTCCGACTGGAACCGCTCGCGGAGCTGGAGACGAGTAGCGCGGATCCAGGGGATCAAAACATCAGGGACATCCACCTTGCGCTGCAAGGGGAAGACCGTGGTGTAGCGCGTGTAGTCGTCGACAACCAGCAGGAAGTACCACTCGTGGCCTTGTCCACGGACGCGGGCTGGGCCCCACACGTCCAGGTGGAGAGTCTGCAGTGGAGCCTCTGTGGGAGGGAACGAGGAGGAGTGAGGAACGGCGCGCTGCCGCCCCTCGACGCAGGGAATGCAGGGCGGCGCAGGCGAGGGAGGGAGGGGAGGCAGAGACCTGGGAAGCCCAGAAACCAGGAGGCGGGAGTGCATGCTGCGTAGGCGAGGCAGGGAGGGGTGACCAAGGCGGTGGTGCCACAGGAGAGTGTCGTGCGACAGCCGGCGACACTCACACTGTGTAGCTACCTGAGCAGACGCGTGCAACTGGGGAGACAAAGGGGCGGAGCGTGACGCAGTGGTGAGGGTGTACAGACTGGACCCCGGCGCACGAGCGAACGTGGCCAGGTGGCGACCAGTCTGGGAGCACGTGCAAATCGCCACACGCTGCCGGCCAGGGGTGAAGGTGTCAACCCCCGCATCCTGGAGGACAGCGTTACTCACCAAGTTTGTAGAGAACGAGGGGAGGTGGAGACCAGACAGCTCACCAGACGGGACCGCCGGACACGGAAGCACAGTGGAAGACCGTGCAAGCACTGGGCCCCCAGAGTGGTCAGCCAGTGAGACAGGAACAGGTGCGGGGAGGGGAGTGACTGTGGTACTGTCGCGAAAGAAACAGCGGGAAGCACCAGAGTCAAGTGTAAAGGTGTGCAAGGCCTGTGCAGGCGCAGTACCAAGGGGAGCAGACTCACAAGCACCTAGTGCTGCAGGGGCAGGGGTTATACCAGGATCCGGCGGCACACACAAGTAGCAGTCACCCTCAGCACTAACAGACAAGGCATACATAGCAGCAAGAATGGCCTCATAGTCAAGATCAAAGATAGGTACATCACGCCTAAGTAAGTCTGCCCAGTTGGGGAACTCAGTAGCATCAGGAAACTTGGCGCGCCAGGCGTCGCTAAGTCGAGCGAAGCAGCGCTGCTCAGTGTGGAAACCTGTACACTGGCGACCAGCGCGGGGACCTGTGCGGATGATATAGGGGCAGCGACCAGGACCCCCAGAAGCCCCACGCCCGGCATACCAGTCGAGAAGTTGCTGGGAAGTGGGGGTCTGGCGCTGACGCTGATGCTGCTGCTGCTGCTGCTGCTACTGCTGCGGCTGCTGCTGGCCCTGACCACCAATGCCACTACCGCTCCCTCCTTCTCCACCGCCGCTGCTGCCGCCTCCACCACTCCCAGTGCCTCCGCCGCCCCTACCACCACCTCCACCGCCTCCACCCCCACGACCACCCCCACCACCTCCACCTCCCCCGCCGCCTGCACCACCGCCACCTCCACCGCCACCCCCACCGCCCCTGCCACCCCTGCCGCCCCTGCCGCTGCGACGCTTCCCACTGGGAGCGGAAGCAGCTCCGACCCCCTCAGCACCAAGGTAGTCGTGAGCAGCAGCTGCGGAGGCGTAGGAGGGGGTGAGAGGGGAGGGGGAGCACCCCTCAAAGAGGGGAGAGCGAGGAGTGCCACGAGCAGCACCTACAGCGAGGATGTTCTTCTCTGCTGCGAGGAGGTGCTTCTCGAAGTCGTCTACAGTGAGAGTGGTGGGGTCTAGCGCTAGGAAGTGGTCCCTGACAGAGCTAAGAGTGTCAGGGAGGCGGGTGACGAGGAAATAGAGAGTGAAGTACATTGGGGGGGGGGTTGCGGCGCAGAACTCGGCTGAAAGGGCGGCACGAAAGCGAGAGTCAGTAGCGCGCAGGTGAGAAACTAGGTCCTCAGCAGTGGTGAACGAGGAAAGATCGGGGAACAGGTACGGTAGCATGAGTCGACCTATGGCTGCAGTGGCCGGGGAGGAGTAGCGCGCAACTACAGCGTCGTACAGTGTCTTAGCAGTTCTGTGCTGGCTGAAATGCGCTCGCTCAGTAATCGGCAGGTGGTTCCTAATAGCTAGGTGTGCAGCAGCATCACGAGTCTGCCACTGGGAGCGTTCTAGAGCAGGAGCATCAGCACCAGGAGCAACGGCAGTGCCAGAGACGTAATCAAACAGGGAAACGCCATCTTTGGCATCAGTCAGAAGGAACAGCTGGAGATCGTCTAACCATACAGTGAACTCGATGGGACGACCGTCAGGCTCGAACGCTAGAACGTTAGGCGTCGCCATATTGGCTTAAGGCAGGAGGCAGCAGGCAGCAGGCAGCAGGCAGAGGCAGCAGGCACCAGGTAGGAGGCAGGAGGCAGAGGCAGGAGGCAGGGGCAGCAAGCAGCAGGCAGGCAGCAGGCAAGATGCAGGCATGCGGCAGCAGGCAGCAAGCAGGCAGGCAGGCAGGCGGCAGGCAGGCGGCAGCAGGCAGCAAGCAGGCAGGCGGCAGCAGGCAGCAAGTAGCAGGCAGGCAGCAGGCAGGCAGCAGGCAGGCTGCAGGCAGGCGGCAGCAGGCAGCAAGCAGGCAGGCAGGCAGGCTGCAGGCAGCAAGCAGGCAGGCGGCAGCAGGCAGGCAGCAGGCAGGCTGCAGGCAGGCGGCAGGCAGGCGGCAGCAGGCAGCAAGCAGGCAGGCAGGCAGGCAGCAGGCAGGCGGCAGCAGGCAGCAAGTAGGCAGGCGGCAGCAGGCAGCAAGTAGCAGGCAGGCAGCAGGCAGGCAGCAGGCAGGCGGCAGCAGGCAGCAAGCAGGCAGGCAGGCAGGCTGCAGGCAGCAAGCAGGCAGGCGGCAGCAGGCAGGCAGCAGGCAGGCTGCAGGCAGGCGGCAGGCAGGCGGCAGCAGGCAGCAAGCAGGCAGGCAGGCAGGCAGCAGGCAGGCAGGCAGGCAGCAGGCAGGCGGCAGCAGGCAGCAAGTAGGCAGGCGGCAGCAGGCAGCAAGTAGCAGGCAGGCAGCAGGCAGGCAGCAGGCAGGCTGCAGGCAGGCGGCAGTAGGCAGCAAGCAGGCAGGCGGCAGCAGGCAGGCAGCAGGCAGGCTGCAGGTAGGCGGCAGGCAGGCGGCAGCAGGCAGCAAGTAGCAGGCAGGCAGCAGGCAGCAAGTAGCAGGCAGGCAGCAGGCAGGCAGCAGGCAGGCTACAGGCAGGCGGCAGCAGGCAGCAAGCAGGCAGGCAGGCAGGCTGTAGGCAGCAAGCAGCAGGCAGGCAGCAGGCAGGCAGCAGGCAGGCAGCAGGCAGGCTGCAGGCAGGCGGTAAGCAGGCAGGCAGGCAGGCTGCAGGCAGCAAGCAGGCAGGCGGCAGCAGGCAGCAGGCAGGAGCGGCCTGAGGGCTGCGTGAGGCTGCTGGCTGCGTGTGGCGGCTTGCTGCACGAGGCTGCAGGCTGCGCGTGGCTACGGGCAGCGCGCGCGGCCGCAGGCTACGTGCGGCGACGGACTGCGCGGGCTGCGGGCTGTGCATGGCTACAGGCAGCGTGCGCGGCTGCAATCTACGTGCGGCTGCGGGCTGCGCTGGGCGACGGGCCGCACGTGCGCGGCTGCGGGCTGGTCGCTAAGCTACGGGCTACGCTGGGCGACGGGCCGCGCTGGCGTGGCCTAATCAGGTGTCGCGCGGGTGGCTTAAGGGGCGCACAGGCGGGGCCGAAACGGGCTACGCGGGCTGCTGAAACGGCGCACGTGGGAAAAAAAGGACTGCCCGAGGCGCGCGCGGGCAGCCGAGGGCGCGTAGGCACTAGACAAGACAGGCAATCGTGGTGGGCCCTAATCCTAGGTCCTAAAGACCTATGCTCTATACCATGTTAGAATCTTACGGGACAGAGTAGTTTCGACTATCGAGAGGGTTGGTACAAAGTGAAAACCCAAGGGGTTGTACCCCACAGTAAGTACCCCACTAAGCCTACCCAAACTATAACATATATATACATATGTTTGACATGTATAACATTATTAACAATCAGAATCTATACTCTCATAGATCACACCAATTCATTTTATATAATCCTAGTTTTTCTGTCAATTTTATCTATAAATAACAGTGGAACTCACCAAATATCAAAAAATATTTTGATATTATATAATCCTCATCATATGTCATGTGTAGTTATAAATAACAGTGTAATGTTGCTTCGCAACGATAAGACGATTTCGTCGCCTCTTGTTTTCCTTTTTGCTGGATGGAAAGTGCCCAAGCTTTGTTTTCTGTTACGATGATCGTGCTGTTGTGTATAGCCTTTGTTGCCTCGCTCTACGCCTGAGAAAGTTTTGTTCACCACAGCAACACCCCCTCTTCCTCCCCTCCCTGTTCGTCCTTCCCTTCCCTTCTCGAATTCGCGATTCTCAACTGAGTTTCTCCAACCCGCATTCGCCTCTCCCTCCCATCCCGCCGTCGCCTCTCCCTCCCACCCCGCCGTCGCCTCTCCCTCCAATCCCGCCATCGCCTCTCCCTCCTTCCCAGCCGCCGTCTCCGCTTCCTCCGATCCCGCCATCGCCTCTCCCTCCTCCCCGCCGTCGCCTCTCCCTCCTCCCCGCCGTCGCCTCTCCCTCCTCCCCGCCGTCGCCTCTCCCTCCTCCCCGCCGTCGCCTCTCCCTCCTCCCCGCCGTCGCCTCTCCCTCCTCCCCGCCGTCGCCTCTCCCTCCTCCCCGCCGTCGCCTCTCCCTCCTCCCCGCCGTAGCCTCTCCCTCCTCCCCGCCGTAACCTCTCCCTCCTCCCCGCCGTCGCCTCTCCCTCCCCGCCGTCGCCTCCGGCGACAGGTGCCCGGAGCGCAAGTGCGAGTTGGAGCGCGTGCGCGAGTTGGTGCGCGAGCGCGGGTTGGTGCGCGAGCGCGGGTTGTTTTCTGAGGCACCGTGGTTATCAGGTGCGTTCCCGGTCCTTTCATCCTCCATCCCCCCGCTGAAATTTCTTAAATCTTCTGCTCTCCTCGTATAATTTGTGTGTCAATTGGTCTCCTCTTGCATTTCACTTTCATTTTAAAAAAGGGAGAGACGGAGCGCAAGGGAGAGCGTGCGCACGGGCGCGAACGTGCAGGAGAGAGCGCAGGAGAGAGCGCGTGAGAGAGCGCGTGAGAGTGCGCGTGATAGAGCGCGTGAGAGTGCGCGTGAGAGTGCGCACGTGAGAGAGCGCGTGAGAGAGCGTGTGAGGGAGTGCGTGAGGGAGCGCGTGAGAGTGCGCGTGAGAGTGCGCGTGAGAGTGCGCGTGAGAGTGCGCGTGAGAATGCGCGCGAGAGTGCACGTGAGAGTGCGCGTGAGAGTGCGCGTGAGAGTGTGTGTGAAAGAGCGTGTGGGAGAGCGCGTGAAAGTGCGCGTGAGAGTGCACGTGAGAGTGCATGAGAGAGGCCGCGTGCCAGAGCACGTGAGAGTGCGCGTGAGAGTGCGCGTGAGAGTGCGCACGTGAGGGAGCGCGTGAGAGAGCGCATGAGGGGGCGCGTGAGGGAGGGCGTGAGAGTGCGCGTGAGAGTGCGCGCGAGAGTGCGCTTGAGAGTGCGCGTGTGAGTGTGCGTGTGAGAGTGTGCGTGAAAGAGCGCGTGGGAGAGCGAGTGAGAGAGCGCGTGAGAGAGCGCGCGAGGGAGTGCGTGAGAGTGCGCGTAAAAGAGCGTGCGTGAGTGCGTGTGAGAGTGCGCGCGTGAGTGCGCATGAGAGCGCACGTGAGAGTGCGTGTGAGAGTGCGCGTGAGAGTGCGCGTGAGAGTGCGCGTGAGAGTGCACGTGAGAGTGCGCGCGTGAGAATGCGCGTGAGAAAGCGCGTGAGAGTGCGTGTGAGAGTGCGCGTGAGAGAGGCCGCGTGAGAGAGCACGTGAGAGTGCGCGTGAGAGTGCGCGCGAGAGTGTGCATGTGAGGGAGAGCGTGAGAGAGCGCGCGAGGGAGTGCGTGAGGGAGGGCATGAGAGTGCGCGTGAGAGTGCGCGCGTGAGAGTGCGCGTGAAAGAGCGCGTGGGAGAGCGCGTGAGAGTGCACATGAGAGTGCGCAAGAGAGACAGAGCGCGTGAGAGAGTGCGCGAGGGAGCGCGTGAGAGTGCACGTGAGAGTGCGAGTGAGAGTGCGCGTGAAAGAGCGCGCGTGAGAGTGCGCGTGAGAGTGCGCGCGTGAGTGCGCGTGAGAGTGCGAGCGTGAGTGCGCGTGAGAGAGCGCGTGAGAGTGCGTGTGAGTGCGCGTGAGAGTGCGCGTGAGAAAGCGCATGAGACTGCGCGTGAGAGCGCGCGTGAGAGAGCGCGTGAGGGAGCTTGTGAGAGTGCGCGTGAGAGAGCACGGAGAGTGTGCGTGAGAGTGCGCCTGAGAGTGTGCACGAGAGTACGCGTAAGAGCGCGCGTGAGAGAGCGTGTGAGAGTGAGCGCATGAGAGAGTGCGTGAGGGAGCACGTGAGAGCGCGCGTGAGAGAGCGCGTGAGAGAGCGCGTGAGAGTGCGTGTGCGCGTGAGAGAGCAAGTGAGAGTGTGCGTGAGAGGCCACGTGAGAGGCCGCGTGGGAGGGCAGGTGAGAGAGCACGTGAGAGAGCGTGTAGGTTTGTGTGTTTGTTTCTAAGAGAGTGTCTAAGAAAGTTGAGAGTATTTGTGTGTCTGTATGTGAGTGCGTGCAAGATCGAATACAAGAGTGAGTGCGAGCATGAGTGTGAAGTTGAATGTGAGGGTGGCTGCAAGGTATTGCATCATGTTGGCGTAGTACAGTGATGCCACACCATTTTACCTCTGTGAGTTGTCAAATTTCCATTCAGGGTCCTCGCTAGGTTTTGAACCCCCCTGATGCATCAGACGGGCCCGAAGGGCCCGTCTGATGCATCAGAATTTTTGCTTTTGAGTGTCTGACGAATCAGAAATTTTCAAAAACCTTGTCTGACCAATCAATACAGAGTTACGAGTGTGCAGATGCACGTGGGAAAAAAATTGAGTCGAACTTCTCTCTCGCCTGTCGCATCCATTCGAAGGGCACACAACACTCACCCTGTCATACTACATTCGCCCCGTCACACCACATTCGCCCCGTCACACCACATTCGCCCCTTCACACCACATTCGCCCCTTTTCACCACATTCGCTCTATCACAAGAGGGGTTCACACTGCGTATAAAGATTCCAACGAGTCAACCTGTCACAGCAGTGATCCATGCACTGTCACAGGAGAGATTCCCTTCCCACCACTGGAAATCGCGATATGCTATGTTTCGATTTCAGACGAAACAGAAAACACGTGTCTGATAGAACAGATGGAAACTAAAAACCATTTCTGACCCATCAGACGGCATAATGCACCCATTTCTTGAAAATCAGATGAGTGAAAACAAATCTGTCTGATTTCTCAGAAAAACAGACAAAAATGTCTGATAGCGAGGGCCCTATTTCCATTGCTTGTCTTTGATTGATGTACGCGTTCTTCAACAACTTTTTTCTACTCTTCTTATTTCGTTTCAAATGCATGTGTGAGCTGCATTCTCTTTGTTTTTGCTTTATGTGGGTGAGTTGCGTTTCTCGCTTGGCCTCCTCGCAGGGAAGCATTTTATGTTTTATTGATTTTTTTTTTTTTTACAATGTGTGAACATTATTTGTTTTTGCATTTTCCTTGTGCAGGGCGCGTGCTTTGCATTCTCTGTTTTTGCTCTGTGCAGGGCGCGTGAGCTGCATTCTTTGATTTTGTTTGGCAGAGAAGGGAGATCAGGAAAGGGGTGGGAGGTGTCAAAAAACTGAACGAGAATGAATGAACTATGAAAAAATTTGGGTACAAGTACTAACCCTAATTGAATTGTACTTCTTATAGGCTATCCCATTCCAGCCTACACAATATAAGCATTATAACATTTTGACACACTCCCATAGCCAAAAAGAGGAGAACAAGTGGTCAAAAGAACAGTCAAGAAAAAGCAAAACCAACTCAGGGTGGATTACGAAGTCACCACACATTCCGAGCCCAAATAAATGACCACAAGACCAGTTCACATGCAGAGTTATATAAAAGAGAACAAACAGTACAGTGATCATAACCTAGCAAGTGTAAGCATGCGGGTATATATATAGATCACAGTACAAGCAAAGTCACGTAGTGAACAAGTAAGGCAAAGTAGGCACAAGGCCTAAAACAGTACAGAAACGCTAATGATCACCAGGCTGAAGTGCCTTGGTGAATATATCAGCAGTGTTGGCCCAAGTGGCCGCGTAAGCAAGACGAAGCTGACCACGCTGCTGCAACTATCGAGTAATGAAGTAACGCAGAGCGATGTGCTTCGTCCTGTGCTCCAGTCTGTGCTCCTGACACAAGGCAATCATGGCCTTGATGTCTACGTACAGAACTAGAGAAGAACGAGGCCGCTCTCACAAGTCGGTCAGCAGGTAGGTGAGTCAGCGTAACTCCTGTGCAGCCAAGCCCCCTGCGTAGATCTCAGCCTCACAACTGGAACTGAAATTAGAAGACGAGCGGGTATGTCAGAATGTATTTGCTGTTTAGCATGCAGTGGGGTACTCTGTAGTGAGTATAACCCAATTTAGGGTTTGCTATTTGTATCCCACCTTTCTATAGTGAAACTACTCATTCTCCTTTCCAATTCTCTCGACACTCAATCCTCTCGACACTCACTAGCCATGGCTCCTAAGTTACGCTAGGATTCTAACATGGTATCAGAGCAATAGTTCCTAGGACCTCACATCAATGGGCCCACCACCTAATGGCCTGCTAGCCTAGGCCCCGGCCCGTCGCCCCTTGGCGTCGCCCCTAGCCCCTAGGCTCGGCCCCTTTGCCCTGTCGCCCCTAGCTCGGCCCCTCGGTCCCGCTGGCCCCGTCAATTCCGTCGCCCGCGCCCGGCCCGTACCTAGCCCGCGATCGGCCCGTACCTAGCCTCGCGCCCGGCCTCCGCTCCGCGCCCAATGCCCGGCCCTGTACCTAGCCCGCACCCAGCCCGTACCTCGCCCGCGCCTGGCCCCGTCCCTAGCCCGCGCCCGGCCCGTACCAAGCCCGCGCCTGGCCCCGTCCTTCGCCCAGCGCCCGGCCCGTACCTAGCCCGCGCCCGGCCCGTACTTAGCCCGCGACCGGCCCGTACCTAGCCCGTCGCCCGGCCTCGTCCCTAGCCCAGCGCCCGGCCCAGTACCTAGCCCGCGCCCGGCCCCGTACCTAGCCCGCGCCCGGCCCCGTACCTGCCCAGCGCCTGGCCACGTACCTGCCCAGCGCCCGGCCCCGTCCCTTGCCCAGTGCCTGGCCCCGTACCTAGCCTCGCGTCCGGCCTCCGTTCCGCGCCCAACGACCGGCCCCGTACCTAGCCCGCGCCTGGCCCAGTACCTAGCCCGCGCCCGGCCCCGTACCTAGCCCGCGCCCGGCCCAGTACCTAGCCCGTGCCCGGCCCCGTACCTAGCCCCGCGCCCGGCCCCATTCCGCGCCCAACACCCGGCCCAGTACCTGCCCAGCGCCCAGCCCCGTACCTGCCCAGCACCCGGCCCCGTCCCTAGCCCAGCGCCAGGCCCCGTACCTAGCCGCGCCCTTCGGCCCCACTGGCCTCGTCGCCCCTAGCTATGGCAAGAGGGGTGATGACTTCCTGCCCGCGTGCCCTGCAGTTGCACGTGCAGCTCCGCCCCCGCCCTCCTCCGCCCCCTCCCCCTCCTCCATGGGGACGGGGGGAAGAGGGTGTGAGGGGGTGGCGGATGTGCCTCAGCAGCAGCAGCTGCCGCCGTGCCTCCTCCTCTATCTCTCCCTGCCGCACCTTGTGTTGGGAGAGGGGGGGGAGCTTGGAGGTTCAGAGGGAGGCAGGAGGGGATCTGCAGCACCAGCCCCCCCCTGCCCCCCCCTTTCTCCTCCACCCCTGCTGCGGTTGCAGCAGTGGGGGGGAGGGGATCTGCAGCAGCAGTGGGGGGAGGGGATTTGCAGCATCAGCC